GGGTGTCCCAGTGGTCCCAGTCCCACTAGTGCAAGACTTTTGGTGTGACGAAGCTTTATAAAAAAAACCAATTAATATATGAAATATATGTTTTTACATAGAATATGTGTTTAAAATATGCTTATATTGAGTATAGGTTGTCTGTATTGTTTTGAATTGTCTATTACATATATTACATAGTGCTATCACACACACACACACACACACACACACACAGAGAGAGAATCTCACTCTCAAACACACATACACAGACACTCACACACACACAAACTCACTCTCTCTCTCACACACTCACAAACACAATCACTCTCTCTCTCACACACACACTTACTTTTATTTTAGAAGCAATTAATCAACTTGACAGCACTAATATTGCCATAAAATTAAATGTAAAATATTTTAATGCTGACTATATGCTTTCAAGAATAACCTTGAAAAAAACAGAATAACCTTGAAAGAACCAAAATAGAGGTTTATTTACTCAGCATTTATCATCTGAACTAAATTAAATAAACACAGAGTTCTTAAGCACACTTATTTAATTCAATTAAAAACATTTAATTTAACAAGAAACTCTGAAATGAGGTCATGTGACAACAAATCAACTCTATTGTTTTATGTACACAGCATAGTATTAAAATAGTGTACAGTCTGCTAGTATAGATCAATGTTCTGATTGATACAGATCTGGATCTGATCCGCAGATCTGTAATGAATCACACGCTCGCGAGACACAGAGAAGCGTTCGTTCCGCCGAAGCCGAATGAGTTGCTGAGCGCGACTCTGCGTCCGCTAGCGCTCCAGGGCTGCGCTGTGCAGGGCACATAGTTCATGTCGAACTCCGGCTCGGTGCGGTCCAGGTTGAGGGTGGGTGGCAGGGTAGCGTAGCGGCACGCGAGGGCAGTGAACGCCGCCTCCAGCGCCCCGGCGGCCCCCAATAGGTGCCCTGTGGCTCCCTTAGTGGACGACACCGCTAGCGAGTGCGCGTGCGTCTGAAACAGCCTCTTAATGGCTGCGTTCTCCGCGGCGTCTCCCAGCGGTGTGGAGGTGGCGTGGGCGTTGATGTACGTCACGTCTGAAGCGCTCACACCAGCGTCACGCAGAGCAGCCGACATGCACCTGAAATATAGCCGAACGTTTGGGTTAGACCGAATGAGCGGAACTACATATTTTAGCATCAGCACTGGATGATATCTAAGCATTTAGTGCAGAGTCTCCATCATCTCATCTGTTTACCTAAACCTCACTACGCTATGCTATAATATGCTATGTTATGCTATGATGTTATTCTATGCTGTTACGCTATGTTATGTTTTGTTATATTGTCATGCTATGGCGTTATGTTATTGCTATATTGTTGTTATGTCAAGTCATCTTCATTTATAAAGCGCTTTTAACAATGTAGATTGTTATATTATGCTGTTATGCTATGCAACACTATGCAATGCTATGCAGTTATGTTATGCTACGCTATGCTATATTATGTTGTTATGTTATGTTATGCTATGCAATGCTATGTACTGCTATGCTGCTATGTTATGCAATGCTGTTATGTTGAGCTATGCTGTTAAGTTATGCTATGATATGCTATGCATTTAGTATGTTATGCAATGGTATGTTGTTTTGTTATGCTGTTATGCTATGTTATGCTATGCAACACTATGCAATGCTATGCCATGCTGTTGTGCTATGCTATGTAATGCTATGCTATGTAATGCTATGCAACACTATGCAATGCTATGCTGTTATGCTATGCATTGCAACACTATGCAATGCTATGCTATGCTATGTTATGAAGCTGTGTTGTGTTGTGTAATGAAACAATTCTAGAAAAAAGTGTTTATTTGCATGCTGAAAGGTATTACCGAAAGGCTCCGTCTCCATCTGCGGTCGGTGCAGTGATGTGACTGGCGTCTCCAGAGAGGCCGTAACCCATGACCTCAGCGTAGACCCGCGCTCCTCTCTGCTCGGCGTGTGTGTACTCCTCTAAAACGAGCACGGCCGCCCCTTCTCCCATCACAAACCCCTCTCTGTCCGGATGAAACGGGCGTGAGGCGAGTCTGGGCTCCTGGTTCCAGTTGGTGCTGAGGGCCCGAGCCCGAGCGAAGCCGGCTATGGCTAGCGGGCTAACGCAGGCCTCCGTCCCGCCGGCGAGCATCACCGTAGCATCACCGTGAGCGATGAAACGGGCCGCGTCCCCGATAGTGTGAGCCCCCGTCGTGCATGCGGTGGAAACGGCGTGATTTGGACCCTTTAGTTTGTGTTTGATGCTTATGTGCCCGGCGGCCATGTTGACCAGGATGCGGGGGACGAAAAATGGGCTGACCTTGAAATAAAAAGGATTATATGGAGTATAGATTGGCTGTATTGTTATGAGTTGTCAATTAAATATATGAAGAGTTCAGATGCAAAAGCCTCTAAATGCCATTTGAAATTTTCTTCTTTAATGATGATTTTTATCAAACTTGTATATTTAAGTTCAGTAATTTCACTTAACTAACAATTAATAGGTAATTATCATTGCCATTTAAGTGAAATCACTGAACTTAAATATACAAGCTTGATAAAAAATCATCATTAAAGAAGAAAATTTCAAATGGCACTTAGAGGCTTTTGCATCTGAACTCTTCATATATTAAATAGTGATGTCTATAATATACACACACTCTCTAGCACACACATACTCACAAACACACACACACAAACTCACACACATTTGCATTTTAGGTGCAATTAATTGTCTTGACAGCACTAATATTAACATAAAATTAAATGTAAAATATTTTAATGCTGACAATATGCTTTCAAGCTAAATATCAAGGTTTATTTCCTCACCATTTTGCATTAAATGTGGTCATGCATTGATTGCCATCCTTAATTAATCAATCAATTAAACTAAATTAATAACGTGCTGACCTTGCTATAGCCGCGCGTCTGAAAGGCCCAGGCCGTCCGCGCGATTTCCTCCAGAGACACCATTCCCATCCCGACCGCCACTCCGGTGTTCAGCTGCTCCTCAGGGCTTCTGGGAAACCACCCACAATCCTCCAGAGCCAGCTGGGCGGCACCGAGGGCCATGACCGTGGCTGGAGACATGCTGTTCATCTCTCCTTTGGATACAAACGTCTCTTCGTTGAAATCTCCAGGTTTATCTCCTCTGGGCACGCGAGCCGCCACCTTACACGGCACTGTCTGATACTCCTCTGAGTCCAGAGCAACCAGACCACTTTCTCCACCAACCAGACGCTGCCAAGGCAGAGCACTTCCTGTCCCGAGGGGCGAGACGAGGCCGATGCCGGTGATCACCACCCTCCTGCGACTCGGAGCCGCCCGACTCGAGTGTCTTTTGGCGGAGCTGAAACACACGCAGCTCCTCACGCTGGACAGAGAAAGTCTCAGTAACGTCTTCTGACAGCATCTCAGGGACATTGTGACCAAACCTGTTCTGGGAAGAACGAGGCTACATCACATCTCCACTGTAAAAGACAAAAAGAAAAGAAGTTCATTATTACCACTACTGCCACCTGATTTCATGTCTCATATCACATCAGGATAAAACAGCATGAAAATGTTGCTATTGTGCTTTTTTATATCATTTTCAGCATAACAACAAGTAGACTGAACATAACATACTTAACACACATGTATTCATAAATATGTGTATATTCGAGTATATTTATGTATACACATAAAAACACTTTTTTTGTTTTATGTGTGTGTTTGTGTGAAGCATATCCACTGCTTTATACAACTAATATTCGACTAAAATCTAAGATAAAATGTATTTATCTCTATTATGTCGAAATGTTGTGTTGCAACTTGTAACATAAAGCTTGAGAAAATTAATGTCTTAACATTATACTGTAGATGTATGGTTTAAAGCACTTCCTAAAGTTATATAAAAATTTAGAGAATACGCTAATATATATAATAAAAAATATTTTAGGTTAAGATGAAGCGTGGTATATTATATTGCCACTGTCGGAAATGTCCAAAATAATAATATTTCTGTCAAGAAAAGAATAACCTTGGGAAGATAATTAATATCTAATTTACTGGAGTACATTGCTTCATTTATGCATCTCAGTGGATTGAATATGGTCATGCCCGAATTGTTATTATCGATTACTTAACTAAACTTAACTAAATGTCACGTCGCAGATTTGATAACTACATGAAATTAAATTCAAATACGTACTCACATTCACGTGGATTCAGCAGTGGCTAATGTAAACAGACCAGATAGAGACGAACTTCCGGTTCTCGGTGATTTCTATAATAAAAGTCTCCAGATTTGGTGCTAAAAGTCCTCGTTTAATACACCCAACGAATCAAAAGCACGGTTTACACATTCTTCTCCAAATGATCTGACTTCATTGGGACTATTAATACGATTCATAATAGCAGTAATGATAATAATAATATATTGTATTAAATTACCTATATTATGAAATTATAGAAATGAACAGTGTCAAACATTGAAGAGATGCAAGTAGTGCTCAGGCAGTGCTAGGAGAAGCGAGGTTAAAATCAGCACTTTGATGACATCTGCTGGTTCAAGCCGTGTAAATGCAAACATAACATGTGCAGTCTTTTGTTAATATTTTGTACTTATTTTGTGAATTTTGCGACACTTTTACAGGGACAAAAATGTTAAAAAAAATTACTTAAAAGTAAAAAACTGGCTGAAGATAAGTTGAAATGTAGTTTTAAAATTACGTTTGATTGTAATTTCTGATTGGCAATGTCACGTGGTGCCGTGTCGTTCCGGTGAAAACAAATCGCGTGGGAAAAATAGTGTAGAATATTACATAAATAAAGACAAAAATGTACACTGTAGCACAACCAAATAAAATAGATAATAGACTGAAATCTAATCTAAACCGCCCGTATCTCTAAAATGTTTTTGTTTTTTTTTTCTGACAAGAAAATAATACCCTTGATGAAAGTCCATATGCATTTACTCGGCTTGGTTAACTAATTCAATTAAATTAAGTAAATAAAGTAAATAAAACGTCACGTGGGTACCGCTCGAGGCATCTGTTTCGTTGAAAACCAGAGCCGTTGAAAAATTAAAATGTATCGCTAACCGTTGTGTGTCTCTCTCTCTCTGTGTGTGTGTGTGTGTGGACAAATTGCCATTCTACACCAAACAAACGTGATATGGTCAAATAAAAACACTTTTCCACGCAGATGGACCTGATTTCACCCTAAAATAGAGATGATTTAATCGTCATTATCAACGCGGATGCTGATTCTGATTCTGAGGTAACGTTAGACGACAGCAGTTAAATGAGGACTTGTGCTATTTTATTCGGAAGGATACACTGAAGTCCAGCGGCTTGAGCTCCTATTATTCGGGCTCTTTTGCTGTGGGCTTGTTTCAATGGTCTTTTTTTGTTGAATCCAGGGTAACAGGAGGAACTGAAGGCGGAGTTTGCAAACTTTAACCCACCGCAGACAGTCGGAGGAGGAATGTAAGAGGGAGGACCCGTTAGACCCGCACCTGACTACACATTCTCATCCGTCTTATCTTTTAAAACGGACATGCTTTTCTTATGGTGTTCACAGACCCGTGCTGTTTAATTCGTTTAGTTGATTGAGTGCTCTTATATGATGCCAGAAAGCTGTGGTGTCTCAGGGGCCCTTCAGCGCCTGATGCCCCTGGCCCTCAGGGGAGAATGGATGGCACTAGAACAGAAACTCAAGACTTTAGAAAAGGGAGATCCGGACATCTTCCAGTTTGACGAGGTGAGATGCACAGATGCCTTTTTAGTACGCTTTTTTAATTGCATGCTTTAAAAAGAGAGTTTTTAAGCATAACCTGTGATTTTTCAGGATTCATTGATGAATAATAATAATAAAAAAATGACAGAATTTATTTAAAATACAGATTTTGTAACAAGATATACACTACCGTTCTGTTAAGTTAGGGGTCAGTAATTGTTTTATTTCTTTTTTGGAAGAAATTCATACATTTATTTAGCAAGGATGTGTTCAATTGATTGTAAAAAAAAAGTGATTGTAAAGATCACAGGTTCTTTTAAATATTCTTAAACCTCATCATATTTTTTTTTTGACGTGTTTTTTTTTTTGTATTATTATTCTAACCAACAAAGTCAATATACAGTCAGAATTGCAATATATACAAAATGGAGGGGGAAAAACAAGCAAAAACAAAACAAAAATCAAAACCTCATCATATTAGAGTGATTTCTGAAGGATCATGTGACACTGAAGATGGAGTAAATAATGATGCTAAAAATTCAGCTTTGATCACACGAATAAATTACATTTTACAATATTGGTAAGAATATTTCCCAATATTACTGTTTTTCTGTATTTTTTGTTAAATAAATGCAGGCTTGATGAGCAGAAGATACTTTTAAAAATAGCAACTTTTGACCTGTATAATGTTAAATCTATGCATTTAACTAATCATGCTTCATGGTGCAACCTTTAGAGATTTTAGATACATTTTGGTTGTTACAGTGTGCATTTTCTTTACATTTTGTATATATTCTAGTATTTGCTGTTTTATAATAAATACCAATATATCTTAAGTAATTGCAGTGCTGTAATGATTATATATATTTTTCATTCAATCAAAACTTCAAAATGCTTTATTATAAAATCCTAGCATTTGAATGAATCATATTTTCTGCATGTGTAAAGCACACATGCGCTTCAGCTCTGAGTATACGCACACGACTGCATCAGTGAGATATTGCCTGTGCTTCCTGGTGATCTATCTCCTCGTTCCCCCACAGGAGTCTGGCTTGAGCCTGATGATGGTTGCGGTTCGAGAGAATCGTCTGTCTGTCGTTGACAGGCTTCTGGAACTGGGGGTCAATCCAAGTGACAAAACAAAGGTAGGAGTTTCCCACCATCTGGGATCGTGTCTTAAATAACGTCACACCAGCACCCGCCACTCAACGCACATGTTGTTCATTAGTAGCACGCAATTAAACTTTTAATGGAAACGGTTCGATGGCGTAAAAGCTTATTATAGAGCAAGTGCTGCTGATATTCTGCTCTGTAGATATGGTTCGAGTGCCTCCTTCAGTAAATACATTCTTGGGAAAAGTATCAGCAAACCTTTAGGACTTGTATTGGGGTTTGCTCAAATTATCTTGTTTATTTTTTATGGAGTCATGAAATCGGCTCTACATGTAGGTGTCAGTATCTGCTGTGAGTTTTATAGCTCAGTGAACGCCTCGGTGAATAATTGTGCCTCTGTGGGTGTTTAAAAGTGCAGCACGGATCAGATGTGAACATTCATTTGGATCTGACGGATTTGCATGGAAAATTAGATTTGTGTGAGAGTGAATGGGCGAGAGAGTTAAAGGAGTAGTTCACTTTAAAAAAAAAACGTATGCTGATAATTTACTCACCCCCATGTCATCAGTTGAAAAGAAATTAAGGTTTTTGATGAAAACATTCCAGGATTTTCTCCATATAATGGACTTCAATGGGGTCCAAATGAGAGTTTCAGTGCTGCTTCAAAGGGCTTTAAACGACACCAGACGATGAATAATCTTTTTTCGAATCTTTTTTTCGAGTCATTTTGTTCGTTGAATGAACCAAATGACTCGAAAAAAGATTCATTACTTTTGATGAACGAGTTGGAACACGGACGCGCATCACAGAACAGAGCAAGGCGAGCATTTGAGCTTATAAAACTTAAACTTTTTTATTTATTTTTGAAATGACCGCTCGTTTCACTTGATAAGACCCTTATTCATCGTCTGGAATCGTTTAAAGCCCTTTAAACAGTTTGCAGTTTGCACTGAAACTGTCTTTTGGACCTTGAACCGTTTGGACCCCATTGAAGTCCATTATAGGGAGAAAAATCCTGGAATGTTTTCATCAAACCTTCATTTCTTTTTTCGACTGAAGAAAAGTTTGGTGAAAACTAACAACCCAGCATTTTTTAGACTGTATTTGTATTCAGTTTATTTGCTTCGTAAAGCTCTTGAGTTTCACCGCCCATACCTTTTGTTTTATTAGACGGCGTGTAAATCTCCAACGTGAGTTTGTCTGTGCATGAGTTTCTCCAAAACCCACGAGGTCTGGATTCAAACCCAATCCCATCACATATACTGAATTACCCTACAGTTTTGAAATACTACTCTTGGGGATTGTGTGGTGAACGACAAGTGAATCAATCATTCACGGGATGTCAGTCGATCTATCAAAGCCGGCTGGTAAGAAAGAAATGTGCAGGAGTTCAAAATATTCACTAAAATATTATACCTCTGCGTAATATCTTCCATCCGTCTTTGAAAGTGTGCTCTTTACTGTGTGTTTAAGGGGTTTAGGAGTGTGCCTTTCTTCAGGTGATCTGGCGTCTTTGACTCGCTGTGGTTTAGACTTAACAAAGTAGATCAGAAAACACACTGTGTGCATTTGAACCTCAAGGAAAGTATGAGTTAGGCTACATAGGCTACTTAAAATAATTGTCTATTTTCTTGTCCTAGTTTCTATACATTTGGCATTGACTCTTCATTCTTAATAATCATCATAACCGAGCTATGATCTCAAAGACTTGATTTCTATAGAATTTGTTTCTAAGATAACACTTTGTGACTTACATTTACTTTTAAATGGATTTATTTAGCAGATGCCTTCTTTTAAAGTTCGTCATAAATCACATGCATTTTTTTTTATGCAGAATTCCATTTTGTTAATATTTGTAAAAAATATTTGTGTTTATTTTTTATTTGAAATATACACTATCATTCTTTAGTGAGTAAAGTAAAAACTGTACAGTAAAGTACTGTAAAAACAGTGAAATATTATTCAAATGTGAATCAGCTGTTTTCTTTGTGAATATATAGTAAAGTGTAATTTATTCCTGTGATCAAAAGCTGAATTTAGCATCATTACTCCAGTCTTCAGTGTCACATGATCCTTCAGAAATCACTCTAATATGAGGATTTGATGCTCAAGACACATTTATGATTATTATCAGTGTTCATATTTTTGTGGAAACAGTGATAGTTTTTCTTGGGCAGGGAAAGTTATTTTGATTAAAGAAAATGAGGGCACATATCTTGAATAAATGACTTTACATTCAACGATTTTGAAAATGTTGTGGGTCAGTTGCCATGGAAACCCTTTTGGGGTTCCATCCAGATTCCATTCCATTATTTGATACAATGTTTTCGAATAAAGATGGTCATAATAGTAAAGTGCTAACATGGGTTGTGTTGTGTAGCAATTGATTTCTTTGTGGTTAGCCACGCTATAAAGTTACAGCAGCATTAGCATGTTTCTCTACTGTAAACAGCTGAAATTGCAGTCTTGCAGGTTTTTTTCGACAGGGTAGCGTAGACGTTTCCAATACCAAAAACGACATACGATTAATCTAAACTCGGCTCACCAACCGCAACATTATTCTTAAACTGTGGTAATGTGGGTGCAGAGGCGCTGTGTCCAGTTTGCTTTGAGTTGTAGCCTGGTATTTATATGAAGGAGGACAGCTCGCATCCTTTTCTTCATTTGCTCGAAAGCTTACGAGATTATTGCTCATTTGGTAGCTCTTGGCGATCCTGCTGGAATGTCCATCCAGCTGTGCGTGTGTGTGTCGGTGACTCAAAGCTGTCCTTGGATAACCTCAACAAGCATTATAATCTTCTTCAAAGACTTCAAATAACTCCTAGTGAAAGAGACAAAGACAATGAGGTCAATATAAACACCGGACCCAGCTAACAGGCAACGTTACCAGCTAACATGTTTCCAGTAACGGTTATAGAGAATGTTCGTTCAGAGTTATCCGGTCTTTAATAATGTTTTCAAAACGTTATTTAATCATCTTTCATGGAACTTTTTTGCTGAATCTTTTTAGTTGAATGTTCGTCATATATTTTTTAAAGGGATAGTTCACTTTGAAATTAATTTTTGATATGTTTTATCTTACCTCAAGGGCATCCAAGTCAAGATGTAGGTGTCTTTGTTTCCACAGTATTTTCAATTTTGACATTTTTCAGTCAAACCGTTGTTGTCTATCAGTCATACACTGGAGGCTAAGGGGGTCCACCAAGGAGCAGCACAGAGAAGTCCAAATTAAACATGATTTAATGATTTTATTAGTAAATGTAATGATTTAATAGTAAATGTAAGTACACATTGATGGCCTAAGACACGAAACGAGCGGTTTGTGTGAGAAAACGAACAGTATTTATATCGTTTTTACCTCTTGTAATCATAGCCATGACAAAATGATCTGACGGCACGGGCGCTTCGGTCTGGAAGTGATCGCTTGCGCGCCGACGTCACTCTTTGTTTATACAGAGATTTCAGAAGTTTTACCTTTCACTAAACATAGATATACGGGAAACCGCAATGGAAGACGATTTCGGTATATCTAAATATGTTTAGTAAAAGGTAAAACTTATGAAATCTCAGTGTAAATATTGAGTGACGTCACACGCAAGCGATCACTTCCGGCGTAACATTGAACTGATTCAGTTCGGTTCAGTTGGACATTGAACAACTGATTCAGATCACTTGGATTACACGAGGTAAAAACGATATAAATACTGTTGGTTTTCTCACACAAACCGCTCGTTTCGTGTCTTAGGCCATCAATGTGTACTTACATTTACGAGTCATTAAATCATGTTTAATTTGGACTTCTCTGTGCATGCTCTTTGAGGTGAACCGATTGAGGACCCCCTTCACCTCCAGTGTATGACTGATAGACAACAACGGTTTGAACAAAAAATGTCAAAATTGAAAATACTGTGGAAACAAAGACACCTACATCTTGGATGGCCTTGAGGTAAGATAAAACATATCAGAAATTAATTTCAAAGTGAACTATCCCTTTAAATGCTTCAGAATGTTCAGGAAACATTCAAAAGTAACATTGCAAGAATGCATGAAAATTCTAAAATGGAATGTTCTGGAAACCTGGAATGTTCCGGAGAACATTCAGAAATCACATTTTCACAACTAAATTGGAATGTTAGAAAAATGTTTCTAGATCATCATAGCAATTTTACATTTCAGAGATCATTTCACTATTTTATCAGTGTTATGATATCAGCCTACAGTGTCTAACTCACTAACCCAAAATTGAAACTAACATTTAATTTAGATTAAAATGTACCGACAGACATTTTTAACACCGAATACCACTGAAAGCAAATCACAATCTTGTGTTTAATAGCCGTTGTTGTGTGTTGCCACTTGCTTTTGTTGATCAGGACGGCAGATCGGCGTTACATGTCGCCGCCGCTCACTCCAAAGATGAGATCGTCAAACTACTGGCAAGAAAAACCGATCCCAATTTACCAGCAGGGGTAAGATGCTCAATTTACCTATTTCTGTGTGGGGAAAAAACAAACCAATTCGTAGAAATATTTGCAATAGTTTAATCTTTGCATGCATTCATTTAAATGCATTAATCACTCAAAAAAATGAAAATAAATAAATAATAAAATCTTACTCAGTATTTTTTTTTTCAGTACAAGTATCTAAACATCTAAATATCTGTCAGTGGGGTCAGATAAATGATTTATCAATTAACTGCATTTAGGCTCCTACAGTATTTTTTATAGTATTTCATTCTCACACTGATCTCCTTTGACTCTTGTTCACACACACCCAGCCCAGTGATCAGCTGCCCCTGCATTACGCAGCGTCCCGGCCGACCGGAGGACTCGGAGTCGTCCAAACGCTGCTCAAGTTCAGCAGCAAAGACGCTCGTCTGACACCAGACAAGGTAAACGCTTCTGTCTCCTAACCTTTTAGCAGGCTCCTCCCCCTAGTGGGCGGTGTCATATTTCATATTACAACAAGCTTGTAAAACATATATTGTTGGAGAGATCTGTTTTCCTGTCAATCCAGGAGGGCCGCCTCCCGCTGCTGCTGGCTGTCGAAGCCGGGAATGTTGGGATTGTACGGGAACTCCTCTCCGGCCAATCAGAGCCTCAGCTCAGAGCTGTGAAGACCGTAAGCACCACATGACTTGGGAAACCTGAGGATCACATTCATACGATCATTACTTGCTTTTTGAATTAATGAGTTAATTAACTGTAATGTAAAGCATCTATTATTTTTTTTTGGTTAAATGGTTCAATTTAATGTAGTTTTCTTCAGCTCTTAAAATGAAACTCTTTATTCTTAAAGAGATACTTCCCCTCTAAAGGTTTTTCAAAATACATGAATACAAAGATTGTCTATACATCCTCATGTGTCACTGATCCATAACATCAAATCCAGGATCAAATTAGCTTGTTTTGAAACAATATGACCCAATTTTGCATTGCATGAATGCATCTGATTTCTATTGTGATGGTTGAATTGTGTTTCCAGGCAAACGGAGACACGGCGCTCCACATCTGCTGCCGACGGAAAGACGCTGATATGGCCAAAGTCCTGGTGGAGTTCGGCGCGAGTCCGGACTCTCAGAATGTAAGGAGGTCACAGAAACACACACACCTTCACAAAGAACAAGCAAAACACACGCAAACGGCTTTTCCAGTGTTGATTTGTCCTGTTTTTCGAGTCCCGTTGGCTTCGATTGGTGCACAGATGACCTTATCAAACAGTGAAAATCAAGGAAAAACAGGAATCTTCTAGAAACAGACTCGTGTAACTTCAAAATAAACTAGTCTGAATGTTTGGAGAAGCTCTCAAACTGTTTCAAAGCTTTTACAGCTGATGATCAGCTGATGGTGAATTATGGCATTGCCAATTGTGTATATTTGGATATTTGCATATTTTCCCTCATCTTTTTGAATGAGCAGCTGGTCATTAAAAATATAGATTTTTAAAGAATCAACGCAATAATCTGTTTATTACCGTTCTTTAAACACATTATTATTGTATTAGCAAACTCCAGTATTGGTTGACCTCTAATTAGTATGTATTATACATAAATCATTTTCAGTTCCAACATATTGAACGAAACATGTTGCCATTTAAACTAGAGCCAGACCGATATATATCGGCACACCGATAATTAGGCATTTTCCAAACTATCGGCATCGGCAGTTATAATGGCCGATAAATTAATATTTCAAAAATAATATAAAAACGAACGAAACACGCTTAAACCATGTTATGAGTGTTGGAGTTGTATAGTTTGTCCACCAGAGGGCACTCTACACCGTTCCTGTTGGCAACACTCGTTGAGTTGGTCATTGCTTGAATAACAATTAAAAGAACATCCCCATCAGTTCTCTAAACTCAAATAAGCATGACAAAATTTGTGACTATCATGTCCAGTTTAAAAAAATAAATAAATAAAATATCGCCCGATATATCGGAATATCGGATTTTAAAACCCAAAAATATTTGTATCGGTATCGGCCTTCAAAATCCTTTATCGGTCGGGCTCTAATTTAAACCCATGTTTTGCTGATAAGCAATATTAAGTCCTAATAGTATTGCTATTTATATTGCTATATATATTGATATAAGTGTTTATTGAATATGTGCTCCAGTCTTTTAATAAAAGTAAAATATACATGATATTTGATTTATTTTGAGATTGGGTTTGTTCTTTATAGACATACAGTATTAAAAAGTCTTACATTTTCAGTGCAAACGTGAACTCAAAACTCTTTTTCCATGTTATTATCTGAATCCAGTTCACTGGAGACATCATTAGTCTGGGGATTCAAATACTTTTGAATGGAAATCATAATTTGTGTGTATGCAGATTGATTGTCTGTTGATGTGACTTGCGTTTTTTTCCTGCAGCTGTATTCCAGGTTTCTTTAAAGCAGCGTGTGTACTTGCCTGCATTTTCCACCACATTTGTACAGTAAATTGACCCAGATGTGAGAGCCAGGAACAGAAAAAATGATCCCACTGAGAGCTTTGATAAGAAAAGACACGAGACAGTGACAGAAATGTGGATTGAGGTAATGGATGGAAGTGAGATAATGGATTTTGAATAAGGAAAAGGCAGATTTTGTACCCGAGGGCCTTGTCGACATTATTGCCCTTTTTGATTGCTCACCAATTCTGTCTCCCATGTTAATGGTCTTCCTTCCCCCCGTCTGGAGCGGAAGACCCATCAACATCCGTGACAATTATCCTGTGAGGATGATCAGACACTGAGAGTGTGATTGCTGATCAGACACATCCAGTACAGATGACTGATTCCTCTCCAGGGTTATTTTAGTGCTTTTTTAAAATCTTTAATAAAACAAATAAAACAATGTTTAAAGGAGTAGTTCACTTTTAAAAAAAAACTTTTGCTGATAATTTACTCACCCCCATGTCATCCAAGATGTCCATGTCATTCTTTCTTTAGTCGAAAAGAAATTAAGGTTTTTGATTAAAACGTTCCAGTATTTTCTCCATATAATGGACTTCAATGGGGTCCAAACAGTTCAAGGTCCAAAAGACAGTTTCAGTGCAAACTACAAACTGTTCAAAGGGCTTTAAACGACTCCGGACGATGAATAAGGGTCTTATCAAGCGAAACGAGCGGTCATTTAAAAAATAAATATGTGCATTATACAGTAATTTTCCCAAATTGATGGATTGTGCTTCATATTTAAGTGCTTTCTGATCAGTTATTCATCGTTCAGTAGACGCCTGTATTCATCAGAGAGCATTTGAGTGCCTCCTCTTTATTTGAAGCGCACACGCTCGCATTATTTACAGCACCGAACCCAATAAAGAGAAGCTGACACAGAACACACAAGTCAGTGTTGTGCTGTGTTTGAAATGACATGCAGATATCCTATTGTGTGAGATTTCTCCAAATGGATTCGACCGTGTGGCGTTGAGCTCATTACCCAGAATGCCTTGTTTGTTTACAGAATGAGTGGCAGACTCCTCTGCACGTCGCCGCTCTGGAAGGAGACGAGAACATGCTGAAGTTGTTGCACCTCTGCAAGGCCAGTCCCAACATCTTAGACAAGGTGAGGCAGAGAGACTCAAAGAGAGGAAACGTACCAGAGAAAAGACTCGGATTAAACTGATCAGTCTCAATGTGAATCACACAAAGTGAAGAGTGGCTCTCAAATACTCACCACTGTAACAACTAAAAGCAAAAAATTAAATTGTCAATAAAACAGATTATTGGAGAATGGTTTACAAGAAAATACTATTTTCAATCTTTCTACTTCAGAATTTTGTTTGAGTCAATTACTTACTTGCCGTTTCTTTGAAGACATTTTCTCTCAGAAATCCATCCATTAATTTATTCTTCTGCCCATCCATACATACATCATCCATTCATCCATCCATTCATCAATCCATCCATCTATCCATACATACATAAATACATACATACATACATCTATCCATACATCTACCCATCCATCCACCAATCCATCCATCCATACATCAATCCATCCATCCATACATCAATCCATCTGTCAATCCATTCATCCATCTATACAAATTTCTATTAATTTATTCTTCTGCCCATCCATCCATTCATTTATTCTTCTGCCCATACATCTATCCATCCATCCATCCATCCGTCCATACATCAATCAATCTGTCAATCCATCCATCCATCATTCCGTCTGTCAATCCATCCATACATCCATCCATCCATTTATCCATCCATCCATCCATACATCAATCAATCTGTCAATCCATCCATCTATCCATTTATCCATCCATACATCCATCCATACATCAATCCATCTGTCAATCAATCCATCCATCCATCCATCCATCCATTTATCCATCCATACATCCATCCTTCCATTTATCCATCCATACATCCATCCATCCATTTATCCATCTATCCATCCATACATCAATCCATCTGTCAATCCATCCATCCATCCATTTATCCATCCATACATCCATCCATCCATTTATACATCCATACATCCATACATCAATCCATCTGTCAATCCATCCATCCATCCATCCATCCATCCATTTATCCATCCATACATCCATCCATACATCAATCCATCTGTCAATCCATCCATCCATCCATCCATCCATTTATCCATCCATACATCCATCCATCCATTTATCCATCTATCCATCCATACATCAATCCATCTGTCAATCCATCCATCCATCCATCCATTTATCCATCCATACATCAATCAATCTGTCAATCCATCCATCTATCCATTTATCCATCCATACATCCATCCATACATCAATCCATCTGTCAATCCATCCATCCATCCATCCATTTATCCATCCATACATCCATCCATCCATTTATCCATCCATCCATCCATACATCCATCCATCCATTTATCCATCCATACATCCATCCATACATTTATCCATCTATCCATCCATACATCAATCCATCTGTCAATCCATCCATACATTTATCCATCCATACATCCATCCATACATCAATCTATCTGTCAATCCATCCATCCATCCATCCATCCATTTATCCATCCATACATTTATCCATCCATACATCCATCCATCCATTTATCCATCCATCCATCCATCCATCCATCCATCCATCCATACATCAATCCATCTGTCAATCCATCCATCCATCCATCCATCCATTTATCCATCCATCCATCCATACATCAATCCATCTGTCAATCCATCCATCCATCCATACATCCATCCATCCATTTATCCATCCATCCATACATCAATCCATCTGTCAATCCATCCATCCATCCATCCATTTATCCATACATCCATCCATACATCAATCCATCTGTCAATCCATCCATCCATCCATACATCCATCCATCCATTTATCCATCCATCCATACATCAATCCATCTGTCAATCCATCCATCCATCCATTTATCCATACATCCATCCATACATCAATCCATCTGTCAATCCATCCATCCATCCATACATCCATCCATCCATTTATCCATCCATACATCCATCCATCCATCCATTTATCCATCCATACATCCATCCGTACATCAATCCATCTGTCAATCCATCCATCTATACAAATTTCTATCCATTTATTCTTCTGCCCATCCATCCATCCATCCATTAATTTATTATTCTGCCCATACATCTATACATCCATTTATCCATCCATTTATTCTTCTACCAATTCATCCCATACATCCATATATCTGTCCATACACACTGTACATGATAGAAGTGTGTTTTTGTCATGAGGCTGTTGTTGATCAGTTCACTTCTTTCTCAGATGGACAGATCTCCTCTACACATCGCAGCAGAGCGGGGGCACACCAATGTCGTCGAGATCCTCACAGAGAAATTCAAGTCATGTGTGTTAGCAAGAACGAAGGTGACTCGCTTTCAAACCGTTTGTTATTGCTTACACATACAAATGCATAAAAAAGAAATTCAGAAATAAAAACAGACACAAATGAGCCAATAGTTGTCCAACAGTATCAAGTATAGAGCTACAAAATGAATGTGGAGCATCTCAGATCATTTGATGAGAAAGGTTTGAGTTCATACTAATACATTTTAATTATGGATATATATATATATATATATATATATATATATATATTATAATAATATATTGCTATCTAGAAAACAAAGAACTGAGAGATAAAGAGATTGCATATGTTTCTCTTTAAACACACTAAATGTGTTATTTCCCTGTGTTGAACATATTTCTAACGGATCTCTTCCGGATGATCCCGCACAGGATGGCAACACACTTTTGCATATCGCGTCCCAATGTGGTCACCCTGCGACCGCTCTCACGCTCCTGAGGAAAGGCGTCTTGTTGCACATGCCAAACAAGGTACTGAACACATCAGAGAAACTCGCTTTGGCTGAAGATCAAATCTTCTTTTAGATGTTGAAGGGTTAGATGCAGAGCTCCTGCTTAGATCTTGTTTTCTGTATTTATAGCATGTATTATTGTGCATAGTTGGATGTTGTGTCATTTTGGGCAGTCAGGGGCGGTGTGTCTTCACTCCGCGGCAAAGAAAGGCCACACGGCTGTAGTGAAGGCTCTTCTCCTGAAGGGGGCGCATGTAGACGCCACCACTAAAGATGGACAGACGGCTCTTCACATCGCGGTGGAGAACTGCAAGCCACAGGTGGTGCAGATGTTACTGGGATTCGGGGCACATGTGCAGCTCAGGGGAGGAAAGGTAACAAAAACACATTAAAAAAATGGTTACACTTCATTTTTAAGGTGTCATGGTGTCAACTGAGTAATATTAAGCAAATACATGCACTTACTATAGGGTTAGAGTAGGATTAGGGTTTGGTTTAGGGTTAGTTGCATCATGTAAATTAAGCATAATTTATTCTTATTATTACTATGGTAAGTTTGTAACATGTAACAAGGAAATTGTAAAATAAGGTGTTACCATTTACACTAGAAATTTCCATCATAGTTCAGTGAGATGTTATTTAAAAGGATCATCTCAACTAATTTAACATAAATGTAATGCATAATTGCTGTATATTATGAATATTATTGGTTCTTTGACAAATTGCTTTTATTCCTCTTTTGTGAGTCGCTTCTACTAAATGCATGCGAATAAAACATTAGTTAATTAAAATGCAGCTGTTTGTTGCTAGTTCATGTTAGGCTAAATGATATTGAATGGTACATCTTTTTTTATTTTAATAATGTATAAGTTTGGGTAATTATAGTCAACTAAAACCATGAAAAAAATAAAATAAACATAAACAAAATATAAAAAAAATCTTGGAAACAATTCTCATATTCATTTAGTTTAAAATATATTATTTTTATTATTATGATGATAATGGATAAAATAGTCACAGCAAAATACTAAAGTTTAAACCAAAAATTAAATTAAAATTAAAAATAGTAAAAAAAATAAATAAAAAAAAAGCATAATATTATGTCCGTTATTCTAAAATAACAGTGGTATTGGTTATTATTAACTGATTAGTAACTAAGATTAATAAATGCTTTAGAAGTATGTGTCTTTGTCAGTGTTGGGTAAGTTACTCTAAAAAAGTAATTAATTACTAGTTACTAATTACCTCTTCAACAGTGCAATTAGATTACTGTACTAATTACTCTCTCTAAAAAGTATTTAATTACTTTTAATTACTAATTACTTTCAAAATCCCATATCATTCTCAACCAGCTGAATAATACAAGGATAGAAATTAATCTGTTTTAATTCTTTCAAATAAATACGATAAAATTGCATGAATTATCCTTAAACTGACCAAGCTGGAGAAGGTTACATTATAAAAACATACTTTTTTAGCATCAGACAATACATTTTGATGTTAAACCCACTATTGTTTTATGTCTGACCTCATGACATCACACTTTTTTCATGCATATTTTACAATAATTCATACGAATTTGTACAAATGTGGTCGTAATATTTAGACACCTCGAATCGCTGTGAGATCGGATTGGTCTATACACAGTATTTACCTCAATTACATCAGAAGTAACTGTAATTAAATTACAGATAAATTAAGAGTAATCCCTTACTTTACATTTTCAAGGGAAAAGTAATTAAATTACAGTAACTAATTACTTAGTAATGAGTTACACCCAACACTGGTCTTTGTTAACTAATGATCTAAAAATCAGAAAATGAATCAGTGCATGAAAAACAATGGTTTTGCCTTCAGCCTAAAATCAAGGAAAGTAGTTGGTGTGTATGTTGGATCTACAGGGAACGAAAGCAAACCCTTGGTTCGTGTGTGTGTGTGTGTGTGTGTGGTCTACCCAGGCGCAGGAAACCCCTCTGCACATCGCAGCGAGAGTGAAGGACGGCGTAAGAGCGGCGGAGATGCTTCTGAAGAGCGGCGCGGATGTGAACGCGGAACAGGAGGTCGTCACGGGGTCACACACTCGTACTGGACGCTTTGTAACATGACACTTACGGTGTTTCCTCTGTTATCAGAACGGAGAGACCGCTATGCATGTAGCCGCGCGTCACGACGCTCTGGAGATGATGCGAGCGCTGATCCAGGAGGGCGGGGACGTCACATGGAAATCAAAGGTACATTTCCCAAAAAAATGGTTCAGTATTAGTATTAGGCTAATGCATTAAATAATGCTAATACATACAACCTCATTAATAATATAGAATCATAAAAAGTATCTTTTAGTGATATTTTTCTTTGTTAACATTTTCTAACGAGGTTGTATATATTAACATTAATGACAAACCGTTAAATGAGTAATTATAGAAAAAAAATATATTTTTATAATAAAATGTAGAATTTTGTCATTTTAAAGCTGATATTAAAAGGTATATATTCAGTGCTTACATATTTTATTTTTTAGAAATTAAATTCCATAAAATTTGATTTGGTGCATGGAAGTGGTTTATATATGTGTGTGTGTGTGAATGAGATGTGTGTAATCAGTGCAGTGCAGGTGTATGGTTTAATCAGTTCAGGGAGGTGCATGATGGGACATGTAGTGCAAGTTAACCCAGGAAGCACATGGCTAATCGTGACACACACACTCAATATATTTAATAAAATACAAGATATAGCCATGCTAAGATTTAAAATATATGTATCATTTCTATTTAAATATTTTATTTATTTATTATTTAATAAACCTCCGTGTAGGATCTATCAATCTGCCTGTTTCTATCTAGCTATTTTTTTGTATCTATCAGATTGAGGAGAACTCTCTGCATGTTGCGGTGCGTCACTGTCACGCTCGCGTGGTGGAGGAGATCGTAAACTCTCTGACCAATGAGAGAAGCCGTCAGGAGGCGGAGCTCTGCGTCCGTGAAGGGAACCAGGTCAGACTCAAAGATAATATGATAATCACGTGATAAACTACAAATACACCAATCAAACCCGGCATGGTTTCACCCTTAAAAGCACAATATGTACGATTTTTATGCCACAAGAGGGCGCAGTTTCCAACTAAAACCATGTCATGAGCTGAATGATGGGACTTGCTGATGGATCTAATAATGTTTATGGATGAGTGCCAATATTCATGTTTTTTAACATTACAGTGTATGAAGCAGGTCGCGATTGCTAAATAGACAGATATAAGAGATAAGAGATATTGCGTCTTTGACTGGCGACATTTTTTTCCTGGACGGACACTTGTTTAAAAGTTGTTTAAAAAAAAATCTTTGGAGACTTTTGGGATATTGTACACAACTGCAAGAAATATATCACACTGTGCAAGTGGTTTATTACAAAATTTTTTTTTTTAAATCTGACACAAAACACAAAATCTTTAAATGCACTAGAAATAATGTTGCTGCTAATCTTTGACATATTTAAGACTGTGATAATCCAAATCTAAAGTTTTCTCTTTGCATTTAGTTGAATTTTTGTGTTTTTTCCTCTTATACAAATCGATGGTTTCGCCAACAAAACTGGTAATTCTGTAATACATTTTTGCTATTTATGATGAGGACTGATGCTGATTAAAAGATTTAACTTGGTAAAAGTGGAAAATAATAATAATATATAATATCTTAGGCAATGTTTATTATGTGGCCATTTTTGGTCCTTAATGCACTCAACGGTGTTAAAAATCCAATGCAGCACAAGGGTTAAATAAAATATAAACAAAAGAACAGAGACAATAATTTTTAGATTATATAAAGTAGATCTGTTTAGTTTGGTTGAATCTGGTTTGCTTGAGTTTGGCAGTATTGTTCTGGTCCAGATTATCAGTGTTTTGTGGGTCAGTAGATGTTAGTGAAACATCAGGACTGAAGCTCTGGATCAGCTGGTATGAGTGGATATTTGCCAAATTATGCCATCCGTGCACTTGTGTGTGTTTGGCGCCCCCTACAGGTCGGTGAGACGCCACTGCACCTGGCAGCTCAGCTCCGGAGGGACTCAGTGCATCGGATAGATGAGGACATCTGCATCATCAAGACCCTGATGGAGCATCATGCTGACATCACTGCCGTGACCCGACAGGTGTGTGTCGGCCAGACACATAATGAGCCCTATTTTAACGATCAAAGTGCAAGTCCTAACGCGCTTAGGGCGTGTCCGAATCCGCTTTTGCTTGATTAACGATGGGAAAAATGGTTGGTGGTCCCGGTGCATGGTCTAACAGGGTAGTCCCTATTCTCTTAATGAGTAATTGGTGTGTTTTGTGTGTGACGGGCAATAATCGGAGCATCATCTCCCATTCCCAATTGCGGATTACATGTGTTAAATTACATTACTATTTACATTACATGGTGGAATTTGAAAGGAGAGACTGAGTGCGTCTCCAGAGCCCAATATATGTTTGAGAACACACCAGTGTATGCTAGTCTTCTGAACATGTTGCTTTACTAGAGCGGAGAGACGCCTCTTCATTACAGCGCCAGGGTGGGAAATACCGCCGCCCTCCAGGAGATGCTCAGTAACGTCCCCAGCAATCAGCTCCAGATTGCCATCAACAAACACACCAAGGTACGAATCAACATCCGCTCCACGATCTCAGAGCGATCTGGCGCTTTATTAAAAGGATAACCCACTCTAGCATATTAAAATTCTGTCATAATTTACTCAGGCTTAAGTTGTTCCAAACCTGTATGAGTTTCTTTATTCGGCTGAACACAGAAAAATATATTTTGAGTAATATGAGTAAGCAAACAGTTGTTGGACCCCATTGACTTCCATAGTGTGGGAAGAAAATGCTATGAAAGTCAATGGGGTCCAATCATCTGTTTGGTTACTGAGATTCTTCATAAATATCTTCTTTTGTGTTCAGCGGAAAAATTTGGGGAAAAATTCCTCAAACTAATAAAATGGAATAAAAATAATTATTTTCTTATATACTTTTATAATTTCTATGTTTTAGTTTTTTTTACACTTTTTAAAAATTTTCTAAAATGATAAAATTTACAAAAAATTACGTTTACATTTTTAGTAAATATGTTGCTTTTGTCATTTTTACATTTTGCTTTTTAGGTTGGATTAAAAATAGTGTGGGAAAAAAATACTATGAAAGTCAATGGGGTCCAAATTCTAATCAACTGTTTGGTTACTGAGATTCTTCTTAAATATCTTAATTTTTGAAAAATTTGGGTAAGAATTCCTCAAACTAATAAAATGGTTTTGCTTGCTATTATCTTAAATACTTTTTCTAAAAAAGAATTTTTATTACTATTTTCGATAAGGTTTTTTTTATATATATACACTAGTATATATATATATATATATATATATATATATATATATATATATATATATATACTATATATACAGTATATATATATATATATATATATATATATTTTTTTTCATTTAAATTACGTTTACATTTTTAGTTTGTCACTTTTAAATATTATATATATATATATCTTTTTAGGTTTCATTTATTTGAATTTAATACATTTTTTAGGTTTCATTTTAATTTTATTTTTGTTTTAGTTTTAATTCAGTTTTATTTATTTCCAGTCAGTAATTCAAGTGCTAGTTGGCAGGGCAACATATTTTTCATTTAATAATAACATTTTATTTTGCTTCATTTTAACTTTATTTTAATTAACAAAAATAGTTGTAATAGTTTTAGTTAATAACTGGTAATAACTTTTTCTGTAGTAGCTTCACTGTAAACCGTTTGGTGTAGTTTATGATGTGTTTGTGCATATATTGTGTGTGTGTGACACAGAGCGGCTGGTCTCCGCTGTTGCTGGCCGCAGATCAGGGTCACACAGAGGTCGTGAGGGTCCTGCTGCAAAACAATGCCAGAGTGGACGTGTTTGATGAGGTCAGAAAGATGATGGATCAGTGTTACTTTAGTATTGTTTATATACTATTATAGTATGTATTAAGATTTTAGTTCTGTTTAATTATTTTAATACAAATGGTAATCTGATACTGAATAATTGCTGTATTAACCATGTCACACTGTAAAAAAAATGGTTAATAAGCTATGAAAACATGTTTTTACATTACTTTAACTTTTTTAAGTTATACAAGATTCAACTGTGAAATCTTCACAGGAGGGGAAGGCCGCCATTCATCTGGCTGCAGAACAAGGTCATCAAGACATCGTGGATATCCTGCTGTCCCATAAGGCCTTTGTGAACGCCAAGACCAAACTGGGCCTGACGCCTCTTCACCTCAGCGCTCGGAGCGGGTCGGCGCGGCTCGTGCGGTTACTGGTGGAGACCCATCAGGCCAGTGTTGACGCTCTCTCTCTGGTAAGAGCCAGCTCTCCAGAGATAAGGTGATCTTAGGCCCCGTCCACACTACTGCCTTTTAGTTTAGAAACAGGGACATTTTGCTACGTTTGCACCTCCCGTCCAAACTAAAACGGCAAAAAAATGAAGACCTAAAACGGAGAAGTTGAGAAACGCTGTCAATTCCACTACGCAGCTTAAATGCTAGTGTGGACGGAGATCGTATTCGTTTTAATTCTCCATCTCTAAACTAACACGCAGTAGTGTGGATGTGTCTTGTCCTCAGAGAAAGCAGACGCCTCTTCATTTAGCGGCCGTCGGCGGGCAGCTGGACGTTTGCAGCAGCTTATTAAACCTGAAAGCTGACATCACTGCCGCAGATATCGTGAGTGACACGGAAACATTCACACTTGCCATAAAGAATGCATTTAGTTAATCTTGCATCACATATTACGATTTGACCCTGTTTTATGTATCTAATTTAAAAATTTGATTTGACAGCAAAGTGAAACTAAGCTTAGATTAACCAGATGTTTTTTCACTTTATTTGCAGTTATGTGGATCCAGTCGATGGATAGTCGATAGTGATAACTCATATATAATTGAAATGTAACTCCCAAATTATTTGCTTCATTTATCTACATAAACATACTGTACACAGCCAAATGTAGACTCTATAACTGCTCCAAATTCATTCATTCTGATTTATTACATTAGGCCTCTGGGGTTGTTCGGCCCAAATGGACCCCGAAGAATTTTAATAAATTTTTTTTTAAATTACAGCTTCCTCGGAATGGTCCGAAATTTGGTGACTTTGTTGGTATTTGGTATTTGAACACCCAAAAAAATTGGGGGAAAAATAGTCACACTTGGGGTGTTCGGGTCCAAATGGACCCGCATGGAAAATGAATGGGAAATTGGCAAAAATGTGAAAATACTGAGCTTTTTTGTGCGTACAATCTACAAATCAGCCACGATCTTGAAAAAAAGCACACAACAGTGAAGGGGTGAATCTATAAAACATCAAGAGTGCAAAACAGACATGTCCAGACACACAAACACACTTTTATACACAAACACACCAAAAATTCAGATTATACATGTGTTTTGCATTTTTAAAATGCTCAGTTTGTCCACCAGATGGCATCCATCTCATTTCAAATACAGTATATAAAAAAATTTTTTAGGGCTGTGCAAAAGTTAATTGCGATTAATCGCATCCAAAATAAAAGTCTGTTTTACATAATATATTTGAGTGTGCTGTATATAATTATTTTGTATATATAAATACCTATGCATGCATGTATATATTTAAGAATTATTTGCGCTTAAATTCTGTGTATATATATATAAATACATAATCTATATTATATAAATATAAATATTTTATATATGAATACCACATTTTCTTAAACATATACATGCATGTGTGTGTATTTTATATATACAAAATAATTATATACAGCACACACAAATATACTATGTAAACACAGACTTTTATTTTGGATGCGATTAATCGCAATTAACTTTTGCACAGCCCTAATTTTTTTCTATTATGTTCAATGGGGGGAAATTTTGTCATAATTATTGCATTAATACTAATTATAATTTATTTTTATTTTTGAAATTTTCTTAAAACACCAAAAAAGAAAAGAAAAAATATTATTAAAAACGAGTGAAAAAAAAATCATGATTTTTTTTTTTTTTTTTAAATATGAATCCCGCCCTTTGGACCCGAACACCCCGAGTGTGACTCTGAAACGAACAACCCCAGAGGGTTAATAAACAATATAACAAAAACAATAAACACTTTACAATAAGGTTTCATTTTTAACATTAGTTAACATTAACTAACAATGAACAACACTTCTATCATTTATTAATCTAGTTAATAAATTTCAGTATTTACTAATACATTTTTAGCATGAAAAGGTTACTTGACATAAGTTAATGCACTTTTAAATAATTAATTAATTGAGCAATTCATGAATATATATTCATAATTCCATATTTGTTCTGCTATTGTCGTGTTAATGCACCTTTTCGTGCTGCTTCAGATGCACCTTTCTGCTGTGTAAAGGTAGTATAAGATATTTGGGTAACATTTTACAACAAGGTTCATTAGTTAACATCAGTGAACTAAGAATGAACAATATTTCTACAGCATTAATTAATCTTAGTTAATATTAATTTCAACATTTACTAATACATTTTTAAAATCAAAGGTTGTGTTTGTTGTCAGCGCGGACAGACTCCTCTGCATCTGGCGGCGGAGAGCGATCACTCTGAGGTGGTGAAGCTGTTTCTGAGGCACAGGCCTGGATTAGCCACACTAGCTAACATGGAGGGCGCGACCTGCGCACACATCGCTGCGGCTAAAGGCAGTGCGGCCGTCATCAGAGAACTGCTCATGTTCAACCCAGGAGGACCGCTCGCACTCAACAACAAGGTCAGGTCAAGGGGTAAAGGGCACCGCCGGTCAGGAAAATACATCATTTTGTTGTTTTGTTTTGTTATTTTAGTATCATTGAGATACTATTAAACACACAAGTTTTGAAGTAGATTTTATTTTTCTATTTTCCAATTGCCAAGTTATTTTGTTGTGTGATTTTTTTTTTTTTTGTATTTTTTTATTGAGCTATATAGTGTTTTATTTTTTATTTCACATTTTTATTTAGTGCAACTAAAAAGTTGGCTACTGGCTCTTTATATTTTATTTCAAGTAACAAAAATGTTTTTTATGGTTTTAGTTTTTCATGTTTATATAGTGTTTATTTATTTTTTTATTTTTTTTTTTTTACATTTTATTACATTTTACAGTTTTATTCATTTCAGTACACCAAATTAAACTAAATTAAAAAGAATTGTTTCCTTGGCAGCTAGCTAAAATAAATACGTTTAAGTTTTTTTTATATTTTATTTCAGTTAACATTCAGTTGACAACATTTATTTTATTGTTATTATTTTCAAAATATATCTGTATAGTATTAATTTTAATTTTGTTTTTAGTTTATTTTCCGTGTATTTTTTTTTGAATTCAGTGACCGCTCATTTTATTTCAATTAATGAATAATTTTCATGCTTTATTTATTTTTCAAATATGTCTATAGAGTGTTTATTATTTCAGTTTTAGTGACTGTAATACATTCAATTAAAATGAAGAATGTTGCCTTGGTAACTAGCTTTTATTTCATGTTTCGTTTAAAGCTCGTTTAATGTTTTATTTCATGTCTTAGTTGACTATAGTTACCCTGTATACCTCATGCTCCTCCTAACTCAAGCTAACTCTGCGCAGGCTAACGGCGTGTGTCCGCTGCACCTGGCGGCCGCTGGAGGACACACGGAGGTGGTGAAGGTGCTTCTGGAGGCCGGAGCTTCGGTGACGGAGGAGGATCTGGTGAGTCCCACAAACAGCTAAAGACTTGTATGAGAAGTTTAAAGGGGTGGTATGCCCTTTTCACAAGATGTGAAATAAGTCTTTGATGTCCCCAGAGTGTGTGTGTGTGTGTGTGTGTGTGAAGTTTTAGCTCATAATACCCCACAGATATTTTTATAAAGCATGTTAAAATTGTCACTTTTTGAGGGTGAGCAAAAACGCACCGTTTTGGTGTCTGTCCCTTTAAATGCAAATGAGCTGCTGCTCCCAGCAAAGGGGGCGGAGCTTCAAGAGCTTGTGTCCTGAAAATGTTAAAAGTTTTACCCTTTGTGTCAGACAAAGATGTAGAGACTCAATAAGAAGTGACATGTAGACAACATTTCTGAATGGTTAGTTGGTGAATTTATCCAGCTTATGTGTCATTGATTAGCATATTCTGTCATGATAATCCCGGGGGCGGAGTTTATGCAAATTTTAGAGTTTGTGATGTCACTAACCCGGGAGGAATCTCATGTAGTCCCTTCCAGCCGTTTGTTGCAGTCCTTAAAAAGCAATTTCTGTAAAGGAAAATGTCTTCCTTTGCTTTGAACTCAACATTAATAATTCCCCTGACCTTTGACCCTTGCAGGAGGGCATGACGGCCATTCATTTGGCAGCCAAGAATGGACACACTCATATTCTGGAGGTGCTGAAAGGAAGCGTCTCACTGAAGATACAAAGCTCCAAGGTGCTTCATATGATTACATGACCTCTGCTTATAAACGTTAAACAGAACAAAAGTGTTGTGTTAAAGTGAGAACCGCGCGTGTGTGTGTGTGTGTAGACGGGGTTAACTGCTCTGCACGTGGCGGCCCGCTTCGGTCAGGTGGACTTTGTGAGGGAAATCCTGACTAAAGTCCCGGCCACGATACGCAGCGAATTCCCAAACCACAGCGGCAAAGATGACGGGAAGAGACGTGAACAGACTTCAGCTGAGGTGACGCGTTTCACTCCATTCAATACGTTTATTTATTCAGCGCTTTTCACTATGTGTTATGTTTCACACAGAAAATACGACATACTTTAATGTATTACACTTTTTTTTTTTTTTAAGTGGGCTCATTTCCATTAAATAATACATTTTTATACACTTCTAAGTTATCCTTACAGTATTTATGCGTAATAAATTAAATTAATGAATTACTGTAATACATATTCACGCAGTCAAGTGTATTCTGAGTAGGCTCTGCATTCAGTATAACAGTATATTATTAAATTCTATAATATTATATATTATTATTAAAAAATATATTTAATTTAAAATATAATAATATAATATTATATATTTAATTTAAAAATTAAATATTATTATACACATTTTATAATTTATTATGATTATATAATTTGTATTAATATTTTAATTAATAAATGCATTATATATTTAGATTTTTTTTCGGCAATAGTAATTCATCTGTAAATGCATTTGTTATATTTAACAATCTGCGTAAATACACTTGTTCATTGGTTTTGCTTTTTAAAGGAAGTATAAATTATTCAAGATATATTCTCTCAAAACAAGCAAATATGTGCTGTTTTAACCCTTGTGCTGCATTAGGGACATTTTTGGTCTTTTGCAGTTTAATTTATTTGACCATTTTGGCTGTTTTAATGCAAATGGTATGAAATTTGGCAAAATTGTGACTTTTTGGATACATGTAAAAAATGTGATCCCATTTTGCAAAATATGTATAACACACACTGTGTAGATCAAATAGTAACACTCAGCACCATAATGGCCCATTGAAACCCATTAAAACTTTGTTTAAATCCGAGGCCGTCAGTAATACATGAAACATGATTTTTGCACAAACATCCTTTCATTTCGAAGCAAAAGCATTATATTTGCATTATATAGTGTATTCCACCAGATGACGTCACTACATATTTATTCCCTATGGGTGGAAATGCACCTTATTTTAGGCAATAGGCAATGTTTAATACTAGGTGGCCATTTTTGGTCTCTAACGCGCTAAAGTGGGATTTTTTGCAAAGTGGGACTGTGATAATCCAAATCTAAAGTTTTCTCTTTGCATTTAGTTTATTGAAAATAATAGAATTTTTGTGATTTTTCCTCTTATACAAATCGATGGTTTCGCAAACAAAACTGGTAATTAAAGGGTTAAAATCCTGAAATTGAATACATTCTTGGTAGTTATGATGAGGACTGATGCTGGTTAAAAGATTTAACTTGGTAAAAGTGGAAAATAATAATAATATATAATATTTTAGGCAATGTTTAATATGTGGCCATTTTTGGTCCTTAATGCACTCAACGGTGTTAAAAATCTAATGCAGCACAAGGGTTAAGGACAATTTACTGTTTACTAACAAGTTAGTAATGTACAGTGTTCTGTGTGTGTGTGTGTGTTCAGTCAGGTTACACTCCTCTGCACCTGGCGGCTCAGTCCGGTCATGAGAGCGTGGTTCGGCTGCTGCTGAATTCTCCCGGCGTTCAGGCTGACGCAGAAACACACGTTCAGGCAAGAGCCCAGAAGCGCTGCTGCGGTTTGAAGCGTGATGTAAGAGCGCGGTAATGACCGAGCGTGTGTTTCAGGGCTCCAGTGCGCTGCACCTGGCGGCTCAGAG